TTCGACTCAGGTCCTTAACAGATGATCAGTTCAAAGCCTTGATTCTCATATGCAGTCTCCAATCTCCTCGTTTCACAGATATCCGAACTCAACTGCTCAATCAGCTAGAGCAAAATCCCGAGTTAACATTACATGACATAGCTGATGAATATCAACGGCTGATTAATCTGCAGAAAGACACACACCTGGTCGAATCAACACCTTCGAGAAGCTCTGATATTCGTGCATTACGAAAGAGCAAAAATCTCTCATCATCTACTCCTGACCCACCTACTTCTTCTAATGTCCCGCGGAAATCTATACATACGGAAAATTAACTGTCAAACAAGAGTGTGAGTGAAAAAGTACTAAAGAGTACAATACAAGAGATATATGAAAATGACTGACATACATGAACCAATAGGACAGACAGTAGTTTTTCTTACCACCATTGGATTCTGATTGGTTGTAATGTCATGTGGCAAAAGGTCATACACTATTTATTTAGTTAATGGACAGACAAAGCATATCGGGAGTTATAATGGAATAACGACAAATATGCACATAGCAAACATATCAGATTGTCAAAACAAAGCAGACATTATGAGACTATATATCAAAAGTATAACAGAAGTCGGTATTTTAGATGTAACTCTTGACGTAATAATACACAGGCCATTGTCACATTTATCACATAGGTTCCGTTTTAAGATAATTCAAATATATATCACTAAGTTCAAACAATAGCCTACTTATTACAGTCGAGTAGAATGAATTGAATCCCTAAAACACTGTAGTGCATCAATTTGTATTAGATTCTAATTACATCTGAACTTAATTCAAAGTTCGCATTAGCTTTTTCCATTTGATTTAATCCACAGTGATGCAGCTTCCTTGATTGAATATTTTATTTTCCTACATAGTTAATAACTATGGTTGGTAAATTCCGTCTGTATGATCATCAGTCAATAATGTTATATTGTAACAGCAGAAGGCAAGACAGGGAAATTATTCTGGAACTTTCCCATCCATTTGATATAAATACACGAATGTACAGCCTAGATGATGACTTCGTCGAAAAGAAAATTTTCTTCGCTGCAATTTTCACAAATTTATCAGTAAAGGCTGGATTTTTTTCACATGTTAAACAGTTTTGGCGAATATGTCACTCATTTTCTCAATTATTTATAAATTAATCATTTCCGTAGAATGTTTAACATCTTTCAGTAAATGCATTACAATACAAAAGCTTAGATTACCACATTCATTTATATGTAAATAATAAGTCACCTTATTTCCAAGAGCTCTTTCTCGTAAATTTGCAGAGAGTTTTCTAAAACATTGTTGTACTGTTTCCAAGCATTGCATCCATATTCGGCCATTAATTCGAGATTTTCAATTCTTGTTGCTTGATGTTCTAACTGTGCCTATTTGAAGAGTCACTTAACAATATAAAATACATTACTTCAGCATTCTCCATTGCGTCTTGCCAAGCTTTCACGTCGGTCATTTTTCCAGCAGGCGGCGGCGGCAACTCGTAACGTTTCATACTTAACATTTCCATTGGTAGACGGTTGGAGAGCCTGTCAAACTCAGCTTTCATCACCTCAGTTTCGAACTTCATTTGAATCGGTCCACATAAAGAGGGAAGATGTTCCAAATAGTTTTTTGTCGGCCTGTATCGTTTCATCTCCTCTTCGACTAGAAGAGCTGCAGCTTCTCTTATTCCAGGATCATCATATCCTTTATCGAAGTATGGAAGCGCGTCAACAACTCCTAAGTGTTCGGACGTCATCTAATGGAAACCTGATAAAGATTTCATGAAACAAAAATGAGTTAATCAATAAGGAATATATTAACCAATATTTTCAATTGAAGATTATGAAATCAAACAAAAACAATTCTTGTGACCATATACGCAAAAGTTTATAAATTTTTTCTGTTTACGTTGAATATTAATCAGATGCCAGGTCTCGAAACCAGTTGGTGAGTGTCGACTCTAAGTAAACTTATTATTCCTTCATCTTTTTTACCCGCTGCTAACAGTTAAATGTGACACGATATCATATTGCTTTGCTATATGCGTATTACGAATGTCAGTACATCAATAGAACAAGTTATAACATTAGCTATTGTACAGATGAAATAAATTATAAGGTAATGCAAAAATATGTATGAATGTGTCAGTAAAACTGACCGGCTATACCGAGTATTCAATCATAAATCTGTCCCCCGTGTCCTAGCCGAAGAAATTAAACTTTGCAGACAAGTACTATTATTTACTGATGTTACTAATTACTGCGGAATCTGGAAGTTTATGTGTCAAGATTCCCTCGCATATGCCAGTTAAATAACTTCTATTAATGTATTACTCCCACAGCATTTAAACACTGGAAATTCCTGGATTTCATTACACAGATACAGAAACTTAAGGTATAATTTGATTTGGCTAAGCAAGACAAGCTTTCATTACTCTTAAGTCTGTGTGGAGGTCAACAGCACTCAGTATAAAAACGAATATAAGATCCGGATTTTCAACTCCAATGTGAAGTCAGTGCTACTCACTATACGGATCAGGGACTTGCACTGCGCCTCATAAAGACCATCTCAAACAAAATTCAGAACTTCATTAACAGTTGTCTTCGCTCAATACTCAAGATCAGATGGCCGGCCAGAAAAGATCAGCAACAGAGATCTCTGGGAGCGAATCAACTCAGCAGGAACCGATTGTGAAACAAATAGGCATAAAGAAATGGAGATGGACTGGCCATAGGCTGAGAAAACCATCAAGTGACATCACTAGACAAGCCATCGCTCGAGTGTAACCCGAAAGGGAAGCGGCGAGTTGGTCGTCAATGCAAGGGTGACTTGGAGGAGGCTATGTGAAGAGGAGATGAGAGCATGTGGGCAGACTTGGAGCGGGGTGAAAAAATTGGCAGAAAACCGAAGGCAATTGAGATGCGCAGCTGAAGCCCTATGTTCCTCTAAGAATTAAAGGATATAATAATAATAATAATAAATAATAATAATACTACCTACAACTCTAAATGGTCGTTGAAGGGCGTAAATAAGACAGAGAGAGAGTATAACCTAACTTTACCCAATGACTAGTTTCATCAGGCTTGCTTAGGAGCTGGAATGAGTTTTTAGTCTAACTAGACTGAATTTGACCTTTATAACGCCTTACTTCAGAGCTTAACAAACGTAATCCAAAAACCAGCACAATGTTCCAGAGTGATAATATATTTTGGAGGAGAACGAATACAAAATAAAACCCTAGTGAAAAAATGTGCGTATATGAACAGAAGAATACAGCGACTACTGATGCAGATGAGTGATAACTGAAGCTCTTATAAGTGCTGCTGTTTCATGTGATAACATATTTGCTGATATGGTGTGATGACTATTTTGAGGCCCAAACAACGATAACCCCATTCACTTATAATTAAATCACAAAGAAAAACATTCGAAAAATAGATTTAGGCAGATTTTGATTGGCTAGCTGGCTTCCTATTGGTCTAAAATATAAGTTAAAGCTGCAATCTTTTTATTTTGACTCGGAAATTTACAGTCAGTATAATTTAAGGCTTACCTTACCATTATATAATGGCGTGTTAATATTTTTGGTGTGAGTGTAGTGTGACAGTCAGACGCTATTTGGATGCATTGGTGGTGTTTAAATTACACTAAGATGTATGAGAATGTCTAGTAAGTGAATATAAATCAACAATAAAATTGTTCTTTCCAGCGTTCCAGTCGTCTATCTTGGGAGCTAATTATAGTGCCATTTTTTTCCGAGATTGTTTCACTAATGATTTGTCTTCTCTCACCCGTTTCCCTGATGAGTCTAAATAGTTGCCTGGTGTTGCCTATCCTCGAAGCTTTCTCCATCTCTTTGGCTTTTGTCACCCACCACTGTTCACGGTCCTTGCGGAGACTTTTCGTGAGTTTCCTTTTGTGCAGCCTTCGCTCCTCATTGAATTCGGAGCTCGCCAGAATAAGTCTTGTAGCATCTATCAGTTCGGATGAGGCGGTGGAGATCCAGTGGTTTCTACTCACCTTTGGGTTTACCTTGTTCACAGCTTTTACAGCTGTATCTATGGCTGCCTGGATATCCTTCCAAGCTTCTTCAGGGTGAGCACAGCTGTCGAACACAGATATGTGTTTAGCTAGTTCTTCCTCAAATAGGGATTTAGTTTCCTGATCGAGCTGGGGACGTGATGGTTTTACCGCTAACTGTTTCCTACGTCTGTTCAGTCGTAAGCACACCCGAGCCCGGACCAGTGCGTGGTCGGTATCTACACACGTGTTCCAGAAGCAGCGACAATCTCCTACCGACCCACGCCAACGATAGCTTATTGCTATGTGGTCTATTTGTGTCCAGCGTTGGTTTGATGAAGGGGGGTCGGAGACAGTTTTAATATCGAGAAATGCAGTGATTGTTGATCTGCAATAAGTTTGTTGTTGTAGCGATAAACATCTGATTGATGCATATCCACTAGCGAAATGATCCCTTCCTTCTTCGTCAAGAATATATTTTCCCCACATTTTATAGTGTCGAAAGTTGTTGTGTACTCGTTGCCAATATTATGGTGTGACCGAGTGTAAATATGCGCTAATGAGATATAACGGATGATAACGTGCAGAGTGGTATTGCTGAATACTTAATATGTCCTGATGCGAAGAGGCGAATCAAAACACCATCACGTTCACGACGATACGTGTATTTTCCATCAAGGAAAATTAACTGTCAAACAAGAGTGTGAGTGAAAAAGTACTAAAGAGTACAATACAAGAGATATATGAAAATGACTGACATACATGAACCAATAGGACAGACAGTAGTTTTTCTTACCACCATTGGATTCTGATTGGTTGTAATGTCATGTGGCAAAAGGTCATACACTATTTATTTAGTTAATGGACAGACAAAGCATATCGGGAGTTATAATGGAATAACGACAAATATGCACATAGCAAACATATCAGATTGTCAAAACAAAGCAGACATTATGAGACTATATATCAAAAGTATAACAGAAGTCGGTATTTTAGATGTAACTCTTGACGTAATAATACACAGGCCATTGTCACATTTATCACATAGGTTCCGTTTTAAGATAATTCAAATATATATCACTAAGTTCAAACAATAGCCTACTTATTACAGTCGAGTAGAATGAATTGAATCCCTAAAACACTGTAGTGCATCAATTTGTATTAGATTCTAATTACATCTGAACTTAATTCAAAGTTCGCATTAGCTTTTTCCATTTGATTTAATCCACAGTGATGCAGCTTCCTTGATTGAATATTTTATTTTCCTACATAGTTAATAACTATGGTTGGTAAATTCCGTCTGTATGATCATCAGTCAATAATGTTATATTGTAACAGCAGAAGGCAAGACAGGGACGCCAAGGTATATTTTCAAGTGATCTAATAGCTATTCATATCTATACAGTTTATATTCTTTAACGAATCACTGAGCTTGTGATTTTGGTTTACACTAAACGACGTGAAATGGAATGCTCAAATAAATATATTATTCTGTTTCTAATGCAGTACTGAACTGTGAGAATAGTATTCAGATGTTAACACCAACATATACAATGATTCTTACTGTGAGAATAATATTTCGTTAGAACCCATTGTCTGTATCACACACCACCACAATATTATTTCCAAGGTGAAAATTTCATATCAAATTGCAAAGTTATTTTGAAAACAGTCAAAAGGAAATAGTGAACTTTTAACCAGGTAGATCATCGGTTGACTTGTAAATTTTCGATGTTATCTGGTCACACGTTGCTGATGTGTTTTAAATAAAGAAATCAACTGCTAATTTTCGGCTAGGTAGTGGTAGTGATTAACGCGAGAATTTACTCTAAATGGTCATCATTTCCCAGCGAATGAAAAAAAGAGCGATGTTGTCGTCACTCACGTTTGGCTATTTAATACTGATAGCTTTATCAAAGTATTATTAAACCGGAATTTACAAAATCTCAGCTTATATTACAATAACTTAGTCATCGTTCTTCAGCATGAGGTAATTTTCATATTGTCAATTGGTAAACGTAACTAAGTTTAGATTGTTGGATTTGATAAGTGTATGAAATTATAAAAACAGCATTTGTTTACATGATGAAAACTGCTCATCACGTCTGTATTGGTTCTGTCACTTCTTTGAGGATGGGCGGGGGAGAGTTGTTGCAGCCTGGTTAGATTAGTCCACCATTCCTATTCGGACAGCTTAAATACCAGTTAATGCAAAAGGCTTCTGATATGAAACATTGTTTCTAATTTCTGAAATTTTTCTGGATGGAGTTGGCATGAGCAAGATACTTGTCTACTTTTGACAGGGTTAACGAGCGTATGTGTTGTTAAATGGAATAAGTCCAGCGGCGGGAAATGTCCTTTTCAATGCAAACCGAAGTGATCTAAATGTGGGGTTTTTACTCGTTTTGGTCAACCTCATCAGTGCTTTACCCGATTCGGTGGCCGACCATGCACATGGTCCGAAGTTCGATCCCCGCCGACGCACAACTGATATCTATGGTCGGCTTGCGAAATTTGGGCTACCGATATCCATGCTGGAAATTCCATACTTGTACCAAAAATACAGTGTCGAATCAAGCTGTAATCAAAAATAAAAAAGATACATTTGAGATTTTAGGCCCTACCCCTCCAGATTACCAAAGTTGAGTGTAGGTTAAATTAGTTAAGACTGTGTCAGCTCTATAATTCAGATCCACAACAGGACAGAAATTTGACGTCGCAATACTCTTATAAACT